TTAGCGTGGTGCAGAAGGACACAGAGCGAACACAGACAGAGTGAACAGAAGAACGAGACATTTAAGCAGTTCAGGTTGGGAGAGCAGTCAGGAACGGAGAGAACGGATCTGATGCGGGCATGAGGCAGGCAGCGGTGAGCAGGGACCTGGGGCGGGCGGCGCGGAGACACAGAGTCAGAGAGAAAGGGGGCAAGAGTGGAAGGCTGGCTTGTAAATCTGGATGAGGTGTATGGTGCGAAACAACCCCAACTTGGATAAATTGCATAGAAGGCACCCCAAGGGTGTCTAAGGATTGAACTTGGACCCGGAAGTATCAATTCACAAGCTGTTAACCGGAGACAGGAGACGATGGCGGGGCATCCCCCAAGATAGTCTGGGACCAAAACGGTAGGGGGTGGGTGTTAATATTCTGATCTGCCCCTTGAAATCCTACCCCTTGGTGCCACCCTGCGTCCTGACGTAAAACCCTCATTCTAAGGAAAAACTCCTCTCCTTCCTCTCTCTTTCTTCCACTTTTCCTCCTATGAGGTGTGCAACCTCAACCCCCGCGCCCCCCGCCTTTCACAATGGCATATGGAGACGGCCTGTGCCCACTCAGTTCCATGGACCATACATAGCCTTTGTTACAACGGTCCATTGGCTATCTTGTGCCGTTCATTAGTCCTTGCTGTCTCTCTGGGACACAGGAGGTCAGATTCATCTCATTTCGCTTGCTGGTAGGCACCAAGTGTCTTTCAGGCTCATAGCCCTTTGCTGCATGTCTCTGAAGGCATTGAAGCTCGACCTACCAAGATTTCGTGGTTAGGCTACACTGACTCACAGCTGTTTTCAACTGGGTGTGTTTGCTGCTATGGGGTAAGGGCAAGAAACTGAAGCCCTGGGCTCTGCCTGGGAGAGGGCGATGGTACAGACAGGGCTATGGTTTGCTTCACAGAGCTGAAAAGAGAAGAATTTAAAGATGTCACTATCTTGATGAAGGGCACGCAAATGACTAAATCTAACACTTGCCCTGTTTTCCACTGAACCTTCAACACACCAAAAGCTGCCTGGGAAAAGATGCCAGAGGCTCACTCTCCAGGAGGATGCTCAACTAGAGGAGTTCAGGTAGACCCCTTGTGCCGAGGAAACGCAGGTCAGCGCTCAGAACCCTCCAGGAGGGAGAGTAGACACCAATGCTCAACCAAAGAGGATCTGAACTCAGGAATGGAGTAAACCAAAGACCGAGAGCTTTGGCATGCCTTGACCAGGCCTGAGTCTGTTTGCCAGGAGAGGGTTGGCTGCTGGGCATAATGGCACACCCCTGTGACCCCAGAACGCAGGAAGGAGAGGCCAGAGATAGTAAGTTCCAAGCCAGCCTGGGCTACCTAGAAAGACATGGTCTCAAAAGTGGGGAGGGGAAAGATACTCTCTGAAGACTATACATTAACTAAATTCTGTCTTTCCCTCTATTTTCTTGAAAAAGAAGATGTATGTTACAGAATTAAACCCACAAGGGATTTCGGGGGTAGAATGAATTGATTAGTTTTAGTACTGACTTATATATGTCACATATTATTGGCCCAATAATTTGTTAAGCACTCTATCTATAACTCATCTTATCCTCACACTCTATGGAGTAGCAGTTAAGTTGTTAACATTCCCAATTTAAAGATGGGAACACTGAGGTTTGGAAATACCCAGTCTTTGGTGACTGTCCTACCACACAGTGGTAGAACAAATTTAAATCCGGTCCTGTTACCCCCAGGTCTCAGTCTCTCTGTGTGTCCCCATTCCCTCTTTCCCTCCCTGCCTCCCTCTTTTCCACACTGGCATCAAAACTGTGTTTCCTACCGCTTTGCCCAGGCTGTGTGTTTGGTGTGTGTGTGTGTTTTACCTTACCCATGGTTTCTGCTGCCATGTTTTATGGTTTTCTGTGTGGGCATGGATGTGTCTCTGCCTGTGCATGTGCTTTTCATGCTTCGTCTTTCGGTTGTTTTGTTTGTTGTTGTCTTTTTCTGTTTGGTTTTTTGTTGTTGTTCTATTCTGTTCTGTCTTTTATTGATTTTTTTTTCCTAAAAAGAGAGAGAAGGAAGGCTTGGAGTTGGATGGGTGGAGAAGTAGGGAGGAACTGGGAGGAGATGAAGGAGGGGAAATTGTGATCAGAATATACTGAATGAAAATAACTATTTTCAATATAAAAGAAGACTCATAAATTTAGAAAGCGATGGAATCCTTCCTTTAGTAAATTAAACTTTTTTTCAGAACAGAATAGTGTGAAAATTTTTTATTTCAAGCAAGTTTTAATCTCTGGGCCTCCATTTTATCACCTATGTGGAAAGAAAAGAAAAGAAAAAGAAAACAACCATGAAGGAGCCAGGCATGGTAGCCCGTACCTGCAATCTCAGCATTTAGAAGGAGGAAGATCGAGAGTTCAGTGTTATTCTTGGCTACATAGTGAGTTTGAAGACAACCTGGGCTACATGAGATCCTGTCTCAAAAATAAAAGCAAACAAAAATGCTAGAAAGTTTCTCTGAGCCACTTAGTCACCTTGCTCTTCAAAATTGGGGGAGTTAAACATTCACCAAGCTTAAAAGAAGCCATTCCTCCATGTTAAATCTCGTGTGTGTATGTGTGTGTGTGTGTGTGTGTGTGTGTGTGTGTGTGTGTGTGTGTGTGTGTGAATGCATGTCACAGGGTCCAGAAGAGAGTGTCAGAGCCCCTGGAACGAAAGCTACAGGCAGTTGTGAGTCAACCAACATGGGTGCTTGGGAATTGAACTCGAGTCTTCTGCAAGATTAGCTCCTAACTACTGAGTCGTCTAACCACCCCCTTGTGTTACTCCTAAAGACAGCATTGTTTCTCCTAACAGGCAGAACTCCTAACAGAATGTGAAATGGGAACAATTATATTCCTCAGGAGCACCTTCCTCTTGACTAGATCCTTCCTCAGGCAGCCCTTGAAGGTGCCAACACCAAGTGGAGCTGACACAGAAGAGCTGCCAGAATAATGCCTGCCTAGAAACAGCTCTTAAGATGTAGGGTCTCATGGGAGACTCCAAGAAATGGCAAGAGCAGGAAGGAACATGAGGTCAAAAGCCACTGACCAGCCTGGCACAGGTTGGGCTGGTCATTCCCCCTCTCTCAATCTTATTTTCTTCTTTTGTAAAGTTTACATTTGAGTCTCACGGTTTTCAAACTTCAATTTGTGTTTTGTCCATCTCTTGGAAGAGAGTGTTCCTCACACAATCATTACCATGAATATATCCAGAAGAGACAAAACACTGACCACAGCCTTCAGAGACCAGCCAACAGTGGACCGGAATACAGCCATGGGTAGAGGCTTTTGGCAAACTCTCGATGCTTGCCCTATTAAGGGCAGCTTGCCCTATCTAAAGGGGGTGGCTGCTATTCAGCTCCACACAGTTGTTGCCAGGAGGTCAGAGCTGGCAGTTTTTAAAGAAAAATAAATGGCATTTGTGTGTTCTATGTATGTCTGTTCTTTATTATGCCTTGACAATAAATTTTTATTAAAATATTCTGTGTCACGTGTGGTGGCAAATACTTGTAATCCCAGCACTCAGGAGACAGAAGCAGGCAGAGTGCTTCAAGTTTGAATCTATCTTGGTCTACGTAGAGAATTTCAGGCCACCCAAGGCTATAAGTCAGTCCCTGTCAAATATAACAAAACAAAAAAAACTGTGTACCAAATAAAACACATCTGTGGTCAGACTTATGATTTATAGCCCCCAATACAGACAGAGGGTGCTACGTTATCAAAGTTTATTCCTTATAATGCAGCACCTCAAGTAGGCTAGTCATTGATTACCCCTTCCACTGAAGATATTGTCTAAATGGAGACCCACAACTTGACAATGTGCAGAAAGTGGGAGACTTTGGAGCACTCCATCCTAAATAAGATGTCTTCATCGAAGCCCTTCCCTCAAGGCTCAGGGAACTCTGCAGAAGAGGAGGCAGAAAGATTGTAAGAGCCGGACGGGATGGAGGACACCAAGGAAGCAGATCTTCCAGACACCACAGGGCTGATGCATACATGAACTCACTACGGTGGCACACACAAGGCCTGCATGGGTTCAAGCCAGATGGGTCCAGCACTGAGAGAGAGGAGTAGACATGGGCTCCCACTCCCCCTGGCAAAGGAAAACTCAGTTTTCTCCACTGAAGTGTCAGCGGGTACATAAACTTCAGGGTAGGCTCCACTCCTAGGCCAACACAAAACAAACTCAATGGGATTTTTGTAAAACTTTTTGTCTCATTTTGCTTTGCTTGGCCATTTTTTTTTTTCTGTCTCTTTGGTCTTTTGCTTGTTTATTTTGATTTCTGTTTTGTGGGGGAGGGGTGTTTCTGTTGTTTGTTTTAAAGAGAGAGAGAAAAAACAAAGTTGAATAGGTAGGGAGGTGGGGAGAATCTGGGAGGGATTCAGGGGGAGGGAAAAAAACCTGATCAAAATATATTATATGAAATTTTTTTTTCAAAAGAAACGATTTTTTTAAAAAAGATACTGTTGAAGACATCTATAAAAGTTTTCGGCAAACCTGGAAAAGCAGCTTGGGTTCATGGACCTGTTGGCTCACCCTAAAGAGCTGTGCTTCCCCTTCTGCCAAAGACTGTAACACCCATGGCCCTTCCTGGGGTTCCCTCTGCAGTTCCAAGTTCTACCCCTCAGAAAGGTACTAGAGCTCATCCCCCTCCCCCTTGTAAAAGTGACAGGTAGCATCCAAGGTAAGCCTGACCCAGCAGAGAGCATGTGAGAGAAGAAGTGACCACAGGTAGGAACAGTTAGAGCCGCTCAGCTACTGCCTCTGGACCCAAGCCCCAGCTGTCAGGCGGTAGGACCTGGAATCCCTAATGAGACTGATGCATGTGACCCTCTGCAGGTGAATCGATTTCCCAGTCCAAGCCAGCTAGCTCTGCTTGGTCATTGCTAGGCAAAACATGAGGACTTCAGTTGCTAAGCTTCTGGTTTGACTGGTTATGGTTTGGGGAAAGAAAACAGTCTCGGGTCTTCTACCAAGCACATTTATTCTTAAAGTGAGAGGCTCATGAGGGACCATGTAGATATTTACAGCAGAGAACTTATGGATGCCAGCCAAACCTCAAATACGGTCAGAGTGGAGTTATTCCAATAGTGTTTTTCCAGCATGGCAGATCACATATGTCAAAATTCACTGCACTCTCTTAACACCCCTCAAAGGACATGCACAATAGTAACAGCAAACCATCCCAGGACACCCGCCCTCGGGATCTCACAAAGTGGATTTATGCACACACACAAGAGTTCACATTCAAAATGATTCATATCTACTTCTTAAAAAGCATTTTGACTTGAAATTAAAACAGCAAGACAAAAATAGGCATGAGACAGACCGCTACTTTGATGTGCGAGGTACTGGATTCTTGCACTGAGACTCTAGTATCAGTCCCCACTTCAAACTTCACATCAAAAAAGTGTGGCAGAAAGATGAGTCACCTTCAATATGAAGGATGTGAGTTGTGTACTCTGACAGCACTCCCGGAAATACACCAGTATTTTAGGAGAACACCAGCGAAACTCATGAGTTCTTAGATGGCCATTCGGGTAACCGGTTGAAACAGCTACAGTGTTCTGGTTTAATCAAGGCACTGAAAGAGCTGTCTTTGACATGATGTGGAGTCTCTACATACTGCTAGCCACTGGTGACAGCATGACTGATGTCAGGCAGCATTCTGTACCAAGAACCCAAGAATGATGCCTTGATCACAAGTCACTTATCAGATTAAGACTGCAATGCTGGATTTGCTTCAACACTCCCCCAAACATGGTTTCTTATTGTCTATGTTTAAACTGAAAGGATTTACGTAAAATCTTGGTGTCTTCATCATTTTCTTTGAGACAGGGTCTTGTATAGCCCAGGCTGGCCTCCAACTTTCTATGTGCAAAGGATGAACTTGAATTTCTGATCCTCCTGCCTCCACCCTATCATATGGGATTAGAGGCATGTGTTGTCATCCCCAGTTTTATGGTGCTGGACCTGGAACCCAAGGGCTTCATGCATGCTAGGCAAGCACCCTACCAACTAAGCTATATCTCTAGCCCTCAAGATCCTGATTCTTCAGAACTATAGTTCATCTTCCCCCAGGACCATCCAACACCCTTTATTTTTCTATGCAAGAATACATAGAATGGAATTCTTTCCCCTCTTTGAGCTATTTCCTCAAGAGAAACCTGTAAAACCCACTTTGAAACACAAGATAACTTCATGTTTCCCACCAATGGTTAAATATCAGGCCCCCTGCTCCCCCTCTGACGTGAGCCTCAGATCCCTCAGCATGTATACTTCACATTCCTCACACCCTTACCACAGCATTCCATCACCATCAACTGCCCTTATACCTTTCCTTGTCCAAAGTGAAAGCTAGTGAACTGAAAGGGAAGTGGGAAATGCACCCCCCCAAAAGGTGTTACTTTTATAAAACTAGTTCCCAGGCTGTTACTTGAGCCTCCAAAACAAGACTGGGTGGCACCACCCTCATAGACCCCCAACACTAAATTCTCAAGTGGCTATATTATCTATAGCCAGGCCCCAAGAGCTCATACCTAAACCTACTGAAGGAAAGTAACTAAGACTTCCTAATATTGAGCAATACAGACCTAGAATCGAATGAGGATTATGATCAGACAAAGCCAGTCCACAGGCTGTCTAACTCATCGATAGGAGGCCAAGTTATCCATTCTCCCCCAGCTCTGCCACTCTGGGAAGAGGCCACTAGCAAGCCTCGGACTGCCAAAGACTGTGGGTTCTAACTCAGTCTTAGGCGGCGCCTGTTGGAATGCACAGTCTTGGGGTGCCATCTGTGTCTGCACCCCATCAGGTTTCCACTGCACATGGACAATTCTATAATTCTGCCCCTCGTTGTTGTCCCAGAAGACCCTCCCATTAGCGTGGTAAGAAATGCAAAACTCAATTTTCTCCTCGGTTGGAATGACGCGGGGTAAGTCGATGGCAAAGGAGAAGGTGTCACTGTCTGAGCTGCTGTAGACATTCTTCATGTACACACAGTCCACATCTGTGTAGGTCTTCCAGGTGTCAAAGGTGATCCGGACCTGAACCTTCTTCTCAAAGCTGACATTTTTCACTTTGACTGTCCCAGTCACTGTCCGCTCTTGCAGAGAGCAGTTCTCTAGGCAAACCAAGTTCTTCTGAAAGCGGTCCCGGAAACTCAAGTAATCAGATGAAGGCTGGGGGAAGTCAAAAACCAGATTTTTCTCCTCATGAAGTTTTAAGCTGGAGGAGATATCGTTAAGGTCCAAGAGATCAAACTGCAGGTCCCACGCAGGGTCTTCTGGGAGGTCAGAGAAGACGTGGATAGCAGTGAGCGACAGCCCCTTGGAGTCGGCAAACACAACCCGCTTCTTGGCTTGGTCGCGCGGGGCCTTCCATTCATTCTGTGATTTGGCTTCCTGCTTGACATTGAGACACGGTTTCAAAGGCTTCAATTTATTCACAAAATTTCTTCGTTGAAAGTCGTTGTAAGGACCCAGGAAACTCTTCAGGGGTGGAGAATGAGCCAAGCAAATCCTCATGGCCACATCCATTGGCATGACTGAACTTGTCAAAGGACGGGGGTCCAGCACATGGATCATTCTGGAATGGAAAAGCAAGAGGGGTGATCACCAAAAGCTGGAGCAGGCTGGCCCTGGTCCCACATGTAAATGTACTAGTTACAGCGAGGGCAGGAATGGGGAGGTGTAAACACACGAGGATGAGGAGAACACTCAGGTGATTAGATCTGAAGTCTAGCTCTGTGCTTGGCAGGCTACTGGACCATGTGCAAACCACCTGAAACACTCAGAGTGGTTCACTTTCCCCATCTGAGAAATAAGTGTTGGATCCAATGATGTCTGACACAGCTCTGAGGAATATCTGCTGTGTTCTGGATCAGTGGCTCTTAAACCTATCAGGTCAACATGACCTAAGGGGTTTCTTTCCTTTAGGGAAAATAAAAATCAGATTCCTGGAACTTAGAACCACTACAGTGGAGCCTCATGGCGTGGTACCAACAAGGTGAAAATGTACTGAAAGGTCCCTCAGAGAGTCTATTGACCAGACAGGTTCTTCCATAATCATAGTCCCAGACGGACCCCTTTGCTCCTTCTGGCTGTTATGTCTTATTTTGGCTCTTAAATCGGTTTTACTTCTCTGAAGAAGCAATCCACTTGAAAAGAGATAAATGAAGCAATTTTTTAAATGTCATGTAGTTCTTAGGTGAAGTCAGAATGACTTTTGCATTTCACCAAGTTCATACGAATTTTTCACAAATGACCAACTGCAACACCAGCAACATCTCGTGTACTAAAGGGAAAAACTTTAACAGCCTACATCTCATACGGAAAGATACCCATGATAAGTCTACGTGTAAATGGAAAAGCTGGCTGCCAAGATAACAGATATACTCATTCTGTCCAATAATAACCACTTCATTCTATCTCTGTCTTGTAACCTGCTGTATACATTATATATACAAAATAACATGTATTTTTAAAAACTGATAACCTGAGAATTGAACCATTTTAAAAGACATAGTAGGTATATGAATTTATAAATCCTGAAAAACTTTACAAGGAAAAAGACTAAAATGTTAATTATCTTTGCATGACAGAATTACACAATCTACTGGATTTGTGCTTCTTTGGTGTTTTCTATTGTTTGGGCAAGTGGTATTTACAAGTAGAAAGACAAAAACAATATTTAATATAAAACCAAGAATCATCCATCAAGATTTTTTTCTGGCCTTTCCTTTTCTCTCACACTATGCTGACACCCTTATGAAATTAGGATTTTCCAATTTCAACCCTATAGATGAGAGACACATGAAATATAGTAGGTGCCATTTTTCAGTCTGGCTTTAATTTTAATTATTTATTCTTTAACAGTTTATACACGTATATAACATATTTTGATCATATATATAGAGAGAGAAAGAGTCTGGCTTGAAGAATATTCTTCACGGCCGCGCTAAGCACAGCACACTGGCAAATGGGTATCATCACAAAGTGGACGGTAAAGAATGTATACAGAACTCACTTTAACAGCTCTAGGAGTTTTTCTGACAGGATTACTTTCAGCAGACAAAAGCTCAAACTGTATTTGTCTAACAACCGTTAACAGGCAGGATTTGATGAGGGAGAATTCTTGGACTAAGTCACAACTGGAGACGCAACCAAATTTCATGGGATGTTCTTGGTTGCCTGGTCGGTTGAGCTGTTATTCGTGGTTTTTATTTTTATTTTTTGTTGGGCTGTTATTTGTTTTTTCACTTCTGCATTTATAGAACATTTTAGTATCGGCCTGTTGGAATTCTAAGTCCCGGCCAAGAGTTAAAAATGGTAGTTTGCTCAAACTCTGAGACTGAGTTTTCTATGACAAACCAGGATAAGGCAAGTGGGAGGAACGAATGAATGCAAAACTGTCCTGTAACTTTTGCCACAGCCTAAATACCTCGCCAGCAATGTCAGGGTGCAAACTAAGCTGCCCTCAAGTGCTTGGGTCTTTGAGCTCAAAGGCAACAGTCACTTCAGCAAGGGAATCCCAGCTCTAGCTGACTCACGCTAAGGCAGTTTCTGCTTTAGGAGGCTGACTCCCAAAAGAGCGCTAAGAAGTACAACTCAATTCCAGCGCTTCCTGGCTTCCGGGGCGATTCAACTCAGCCATCAACCTGGCAGTCTTCATCTGCAGAGAAGACAAAACCAGAGACGCCCCCAACGTCCCAGCAAGCAGCTGCAGGTTCCCCTCCGTTAGGAAGCAGAGTTGCACTGAACCTACCTGGTGCAGCTCATTGGACCGAGAGGCAGCGGCGACCGCGACAGCCGCACCCAGCTCAGCTTCGCACCCAGCACCTAGAGGATGCAGCGCCGCGGTCCAGCCCGCCGACTGACCGACTGACCGCCGGGGGCCGGGACGCAGTTTATCAGAGCCCGACCACGTGAGCTGGTCCCTCAGACCAATCAGCGGCCCGATGGCCGGGCCAACCAGCGCGCAGCCAGGGCGCGAGCCCTTGTCCCCGGAACGTGATCACCGCGGGGCTGGATGTGCCCGGAGCGTGCTGGAAGGCGGGCGCCGTGTCGGGGAGCCCTGGGCCAGCGGGACCCAACCGCGTTCCCGGAACCCCGCGCGCGTCACGTAGCGCACGGCCGCAGACTCTCAGCTGGCCTCTCCCTGCCTGTGCGAGCCTGGAGGGGTCTTCTGTGTTATGCATGGGTCTGTGCAGAGTTGAATCTGAGCTCAGAAAGTTGTGTCTCCACCCGGTGTCTGTGTGCTTCTTGCTTTGTGTGTCCAGGCACCTTGGCCCACGCAAAAAGAAGTTGGCTGGCTTTTCTTCTCCACGAATAACGCCATACAGCCACTCAAAGTAGGCAGGGGATGTCAGGAGTTACCATTTTCTCTTAACAGACGTAAAGAAAACTCTCTGTGATCTCTTCCCTCTGAAGACAGGCAGGAAGCCAGCCTGGACAGCCTAGCGAGACTGCCTCTGATACAAGCAAGCAGACACTTTGTATGCTGATCTCTTCAGTTTTCTCCTTGGAAGAGAAAACTAGGCCAACAGGAAGTTACTGTCCTTGCTCATTGCCATCAGATGCAGCAGGCAGTGCAAACACCTGGCTGGGGTTTCCATAGGGAGTGAGGTAAAATCACAGTACATGTCATGACCCTCCCAAGCCAGCTGCTTTCACCGAGGTTTCCTTATTTTATTTTGGAGCTTGAGGGACCAAATCAGTTGTAGAATTAAAAACTATAAAAGTAGATTTGTTAGTCAAGTATAAATTGTTTTTCTTCTTTTGTTTTTCTGAGATTTTAATATAATTTCATCATTTCCCCCTTCCCTTTCCTCCCTCCAAATACTCCTGTATATCCCTCCTTGTCCTCTTTCAAATTCATGGCCTCCATTTTGCTAATTGTTCTTATATGCATATATGTACAAGTTATTTTTATAAAGCCCTATGACCTAGCTCTGGTTGGTTATCCAGCAGCCAATTAGAATGTGCAAAAATTTTTCTGTGTCATTTATCTGTCAAACACTAGAATTGTTACAATGGAGTTAGAGAGTGAAGAACAAAACTCCGTGCTGCAGGGTTGGCGACTGCTCAGTGGTTAGAACGCTTTGCTGCTCTTTCAGAGGACCAGAGGTCAGTTTCCAGCACCCCGTCAGGTGGCTCACACCCCCCTGTCATTCCAGCTCTAGGAGAATCTATGCCAGCTTCTGGCTTCTGCTGGACCTGCACACATGCACATACAAACACAGAGACACACAAAAGTAAGTAAAAACAAATCTTTTCTTTTTTAAGAAATTCATCCTGAACATCACAGAGGAAAATACTTAATGACTAGGCTTTTAAAAATATTTCCTTTTATTTTAGACACGAGTGTTTTTGCCTGTATGTATGTATGTCTGCATACCACATGCACACAGTGCCTTTAGAGGTCAGAAGTGAGCATTGGATTCCCTGGCACTGGAGTTACTGATGGTTGTAAGCCACGATGCAGGTGCTGGGAACCAAACCCTGGTCTTCTGCAAGAGCAGCAAGTGCTCTTAACCACTGGACCATCTCTCTAGACCTTGGGCTTTATTTCTGAAATCAACTATCTAATGACACATCTTGTTGCCCTCTCAAGTCTACCCAAACCATCTGAAAGACAATGTTTGGGGTTTGGTCCTCACCTGAATCTGGGCAAGATCTAGCTTCCATTTCCTGGTGTGCAGCATAGAGATAATAAATTTGTTCTGAGGAATAAATGAAATTGTGCATCTCAGCACCATACCCAGTTCATGTGTTCAACCCATATTAGATCTCAAGTGAGTGCTTGATTCTTCCGTGCTTGTTTCTACTCTCCCCTTCAGTGAAGTCATTACCTGAGGGAAACAGTGATCATGGCTGCTGCTCATTGCTGTGGAATAATCCTCTTGTACGATGTAAAGATTTGTCACTCGAATTGGTTTAATAAAACACTGATTGGCCAGTAGCCAGGCAGGAAGTATAGGCAGGGCTTCCAAACTAAGAATGCTGGGAAGAGGAAGGGTGGGGTCAGAAAGTCACCAGCCAGATGCAGAGGAAACAAGATGAGAATGCCGTACTGAGAAAAGGTACCAAGCCATGTGGCTAAACATAGATAAGAACTGTGGATTAATTTAAGAGGTAGTTAGTAATAAGCCTGAGCTACCAGCTGAGCATTTATAATTTATATTAAGCCTCCAAGTCAAATTATTTGGGAAGCAGCTGCTGGGTATTTGGGAGTTGCTGGTAGGACAGAAACTTCCATTTTCAGCTCATTGGGCCTTATCATGTGTCAAACACAATTCTGTTGCATTGTGTCATCTATTTAATACTTACAGCATCCTGGGTGGCATTGCCTGTCACAAAAACCACTGTGGGAGCCCGTTCTCGGGTTCCTTGTGGCTTTACCCAGCAGGTCCGCATAGAGGATGATTAGGACCAAGGGCCTGAGTGCAGGTGTCTGAGATGGTCTGCACTTGGCTGTGCTGGGGGAGGAGGTCTTTTGCTCCACCCCTTGGCGTCTCTATAAAAACCCTGGGGCAGAGAGAGTCGGGGGCCCGTTGGAATAGGTTCCAGGCCCTCTCGAGGCTATCCTTTATTTTCTATCTGTTTATCTCCGCAATATTCTCCACAATAAATCCTTCTATCTAATATTTCCTGCTGCTCGCACTCAAGAAAACTCTGGGGAACTGTGGGGGTGGTGGGTAAACGCCCCACAATCTTTGAAAAAGGAAACCCATGAGGAGATCCATAAACCTGCCCAGGACCTTCCAAGTAAAGCTGGGATCAGAACCTGTGTGATGCAAGATTGGTAAGTACCACCTGCCCCATTCTGTCTTCTTTTATTCACTCGTCAGTTAGGACAGAGATAGGAGGGGCCTTGTGTATTGTTGGCATCAAACTCTTTATATTTCACAGTTGAGAAATCTAAATCCTGAGAAGCTGAGCTGCTTGCCAAGGGCTGGTTAGGTCAGAGTCCAAACTAGAATCTTGGGCAGGCTTTTTCTCTACACAAACCATATGTTGAGGTAAAGAGTGAATATTACCAGCTAAAGCTGTGGAACAGCACACAATAAGAAGAATGTGTTATGACTCTCCTTAGGAGGGAACAGTGTGCATGAATAGGAACTAGAATATTTGCTCTACTAAAACAGTAGTGCTTATTTGGGGATGATGACAGTACAAGTCATAAAATGTTTTTGCTTTGCTTCTCTGTAGCTTTTGGATTTTTTTTTTCTTTTTACAATAAACACAGAAGACTTCTGTAATTAAGAAATAAATTTGAGAAGATTTTCAAACTCTCAGATTCAAGTAATGTGGAGAGTCTCCATGCTGGGTGCCAAAAGCCATGTTGGAAGGTTTTTAGTGTCCTTCACTGGTTTCCTCCCACTGTCCCTCTGAAGTTCTGTTAACTCTGCTTTCTCTCCTGCCCCCTGGTGTTGATTAGTGCTGTCAAAGCAACTTTCTGTTTCAACTTTGAGAGAAATTTTTAGGGAAAACAGTACTCTTTCTTTCCTAAGAGAAGTCAGTGTGGCCTGTAAGCTTGATGATTCAGGCTCCTGGCTGATTTTTACTGCCTTTCATTACAGGACTAGAGAGACTGGAAGGGAGTCAGTGTTTTTTAGTTGGGTATTACGTCAATGAAGATGGCTCAAACCGGGAGTTATGAAGAATTTTATTATTTGTGGGCTTTCTCCAAGTGTGGTTTGGCGGCATTCAAACACTGCTTTGTGTTGCTCATCTTCGCACAATAAAGCCATCGACTGGGGCTCTTTGATCAGTGTGGCGTGTCCAGCTCCATGCTAGGAGTTACCAGGAGTCATAAGCCCTTTGACCTTGAGAATATTCCAGACTTTATTAGATTTTAAACTCAAAAAGCAGCCCAGGAATGAGGGGCCACTGACTGTGAGTTACACAGTGGGGCTGTCCAAGCATTTGCTCAATATATCGTCAGAAAGCTGAGCTGCCTTTGTGGGAAACTCACCCTGGGGTCCCCCGTTACCAACTCATTTTCTTTTTCTTCTTTCTTCGTGTGTGTGTGTGTGTGTTATGTGATGTGTATGTGTGTGTACATAATTATGTTTGTGTGTATGTATGTAAAATGTACGTGTAAATGTTGAATGTCTTCTTCAGTCCCCACCACTGCCTTATTTTTTGAAACAGGGTCTCTTCCTCAACCTGGAGTTTCCTGACAGCCAACAAGCCCCAAAGACATAGCACACTATAACCCCAAACTCCTGTACTCAATCAATCATCTGCCTCAGTTTCCCAAGTAGCTAAGACTATAGGTACATACCACCAACAAAATAACATGTTTTTTTTTTTAGTCTCCTGGATAATCTTGAACAAAAATTAGACATCTGAGTGCTACAAAATGAGATGAGAAATGGGTAAAATACAATCTGACTCTGGGGAGGGGGCATTCACTCATCTTGATGGTGCAATCTCCAGATTGCTGTGGTGTCTCTGTCTTCACTGAAGGATGAAGGTGAATAAAAGTGTTGAGCTATAAAGAATCTAAGGGATAACAATTGCATCATGCTGAAGGACATTTTAAGAGACTTTTAAATGTCATTACTTATTTATGAGTGTGTGTGTGTGTGTGTGTGTGTGTGTGTGTGTGTGTGTGTGTGTGTGTATGCACGTGCCGTGGCACATGAGTGGAGGTTAGAGGACACCCTGCAGGAGTAGGTTCTCTCCTTCTGCTTATGTGGGTTCCAGGGACCAAACTCAGGTCATCAGGCCTGGAGGCAAGTGCTTTTACCCACTGAGCCATCTTGCCAGCCATTTAAAGGCTTGGACATGACTACCCTGGAAGGAGAAAAAGGAGAAAGGCCATGCAAGAAAAGAAACAGAAATTAGCCAAAATGTAACCAAATTCACAGGAAACATCAAAAGAAAAAGCAAAATGAGAACAAATAATATTCTGAAAAAGAATAATAAGAAGGCATTTTAGCTCTACCTGCTTGTACTATAGTTTTACAAAATGAATGTTGGTGCATGAAAACAGAGTTATCC